TGAAGCAGCTAGCCCGGCCACCTCCCTCATCTTTAAAGTTTTCAAAATTTAATCATAATGGAGATAAAAAGAATATTCAAATTTAAAGTCTTGAAACTGAGTGCCGTTTCTGGCTACCTGGAAGTGCCATATTATCATAAAGTTTCTTTTCTCGGCTCCAACAATTTTTTTAAACCGAAATAATTTAGTTTTTAAAAGGAATCTAACATCAAATAAATTGCCATTTACATTTTACTTTTTGCAGAAATTACATATTCAATGATAAAATATTCAAAGATAAAAAAAAGCCATGAATAACACTTTTTATTTTTTTTCCATTTAAATGTTAAAAAATAGCAACAACATAATCAATAAATCAACATAAATCATGCATCTATTAATACTAAAATAATTTATTTGTGGCCAATTTTAAGGAAGCGGAATCACAATTTTCCAGAAATTCAATCCGGGTAATGGTAAACCCCACAAACAATGAGTTTATATGAACATCAAATTATTATTATTTAAAGAGAGTTCTACAATCGTAATTAAAGGGTTTGGATAGGGGTTCGCAGTGTGTTTGGAGGATTGTGGTGTATTTGCAAGTATTTTTTCACCAAAAAAAATCAACATTTTAACCAAGAAATAGGTTCTTATAAATATTTAATTAGATCTTATTGATATACCAAGTGAGTCAATCACAATTGAATATTTTGGTTTTCTACAGTGTGTTTTAGGAGGTATACACACATAATGGGCCTATTTACTGTAATAAAAATGAGATAAAATTACCTTTTTTCAAGAGGGGGAAATCATTAAATTTTGAAGAACTTAAAAAGTCATTAAAAGACACCTCAGAAGTAGGGAAAGCTCATTTCCGGCCATCTAGGAATCAAAATTGTCCAGGACCCTGGACACTTTTCCGGGACCCTGGACCCTTTTTGGGGTTTAAAAAAAAAAATTTTGAACCCCCTCCTTCAAATCCTGGATCCGCTCCTGTGTATTTTAGTCAACCGACAAACCATTTGTTTTGGTGTGATATTCACATAAGGGAATTGACATGTCGAAAAGGACGCGAAGCCCCGCCTGCAAAGTCACGAAAACCTTAGACAATGGCGGCTAGACTTACCGAGTTGGCGAAGATTTTCTTTGCTATCAACCTTCGTTAAGAAAGAGAATTCAGGGTAGGCGGTATGCAAATGAATCATATATTTATAGTGTTAATCTATTTCATGGAACATGGCCGCGAAATTGTTGTCAAAGCCTCTGTATTTCGCTCCCAAAGGAAAAAGGAAAAGCCGCATTCAGTCAACCTTGTTTCGGCAAAGGCCAAGTCACTGATGCGCACTGCTCGTGTAAATCTGGGTATCCACAGTATAACCAAGCATAGACATCTTGGCCTAGGCTCACGTATGTTTTGCATTTAAACCAGCTGTTTTAAGGAAATTAAAATGTCCGAGAACAAGTTTTTGATCACGTGACTAAATGACGCTCGCTGATTAGTCAGTTTATCTGTCAATTAAATCTCGTCGAGATGTTAATTATGAGGAGGGACACAGTCAAATGGAAGGATAAATTGGAAAAGAAAAATTGGCATCGATAATTAGGCTATACGGTATATTGTAGCTTTATAGTAATACTAAAAATTTTTTTTTGGTATTGGTAT